ATAGTGGTTACTTGCCTCCTGAAGGACAGTTACATCTGCCTTCTCCGAGTTCGAACCCAGTACCTTTGGTATCGCAGCCCGCGACGCAAAACCACTCTACCGTCTAGGTGTCTAAATAAAGTAATGTAAGCAATCCTATTTAAAAAAAGCGACTACTCAAAATTTCCATTCTTTTTAATCTTGAGGATGTGGTGAACTTATGATAAAACCAATGTTTATTGTTCTCAAAACACTATTCTCTTAGAGGGAGATAGCACCAAGAAGGTTCACTGCAAGTATAATTATTTCTAAAAAAAAAAAAAAAAAAAGCTGCATGAAGTTTTGTGATTTCCTAAGTATAATGTGCATGTGAACAGTTCCTGAGAATCACTCCACAAAGGAATCCCCCTTAAGCAGATAGCCATAGGGTGCTTTGGCATAATCTAATAATATAAAACCTACTGAAATATTATATAGCTGACTTTCTTCATAACTAAATCAGCATTCAGTACTGACTGCACGCTGTGCATGAAATTTTAATGTCATTTTAGAATAAACTGAAACAAAACAAAGAATTTCTCTATAAGTGTATTAGATTATCAAAATGAAGAAATAATCTCAAAATTAACTTAGCAATTTTTTAAAAAATAAGGTTATGCAGTACTTACCATCCTTTTTCTATCTTTTTTAGATAATACTTCATGAAAAATTACCAGTAAAAACTTTATAAAAATTTATTAATGACCTTTGTTAGTTAACTATTAATATTTACTTTGTTACTATATATTACTTTGTTACTACTATATATCTTATTTGTTACACATTATATTTGTAGTTTGTTAGTTAAAATTTATTAAGTCTATAGTTGCATATTTTCTATGCTTCAGTTCTTCTTCTTTTTTCAGCAAAAATTATTAGTTAATAAAAAATATGAAAGTAAAATTATCCTTCTTTCCATCTTGTGCTCATAATCATTATGGGAATATCCTTTACAGCTATTAAAGCCTGAAAAAAGCATATCTGCGATTTATCATCATGCGATGATTTACTTTATTTTTTACCACGATATTTTCGACAACGATGTTTTTAAACTGCGAAGTTTTTTAACCGGTTTATTTTCGACGACGATATTTTGTACAACGATGTTTTAGAACTGCGATGTTTTCTCCCATGATGTTTTGTATAATATGTTTTTCGCCTTGCGTTGTTTTCTCCGCGAGGTTTTCGTCCGCGATGTTATTGGCGGACACCAGGTTTGACACCCAAGTAGACATAGTCCCACTGTATGATAACCAAGAAGAATAGATCTTATAACGCATGACAAAAACTTTTGTTAACTGAAAATAACTTACACAAAAATCTTAAAACCGACTGCTTAATACAATAAACCACAATGTAAATTAAGAATGCTTGAAAAAGCATTTATCTTAAATATTTGTCTTGTAACATCAAATAATAATTCACTTGCAAATAGGAGAATAATTTTTATGATAATATAGGAAAACTTATAAAATGAATCTTAAAAATAATATTAGCGAACCAAAATATTTATAAATTTTTAACAAACTGAACAAGAAAATACTATTATTTATAAATAATATATAATAGCATTCATAGCTGTGTTATGCAAATTTAAAAACAAATATCACAAAGTTATTTACCAATCAGCTCTGCAGCCATTTGAGAGTCATCACCCATTTTACAGATATCACTAAATTGTATCAAGGCATCAATGTGATACGGATACGTGTTGAGCAAAGCCTGAAATAATGGGAATTTTAATAATTTAATTATATTTTATAAAATGAAACTTTGCAGCAGTCATAGCATAATTATTACTATTTTCTTTTTTCACAATTATTAATTTTATAAATTATCAATATCAAATATTTTGATTTTATTTTTTAACTTAATAATGCATAATAGTTTTAAACATTTTTTTAAACATTTTTTTAAAATACCTATTAAAAAGAAACTCAAACACATTTAAAGGCATAGAATTTTAATAACCAAAAGTAAGAAAAAATTTTAACAGTCATTTCCACTCTTCATAAACAGTTAAAAATTACAAATTTATAAATTTGAAAACTAGTTTAGAAACTGCTTTTAAGAAACTTTTATACAGTCAAAAGTCTTCAATCCGGACCTCAAAACTACAAACTTTCTGCGCATGCGTAAATGCATCACATCATACCTTTACGCATGCGCTTATGCGTTTACGCATGCACATGCGTAAAGCATGCCGCATATGTGTTTAAGCATGCGCAGAATACGTTTACACATGCGCGTTTAATGTATAACGGATGGTATAAGCTAAGCTAAAATTATCTATTTCAATGGATCCAGCTGATTATTTTTTGCAGACTGTTAGAGCAATTTTATAAAAGTAAGCTTGAACTTTTGATTATGTCAAAAAAAAATTTCCGATTCTGGAGCTGCCAAAGGATCTACAAAGCGAAAGCATGTTTCAATTTCCATCAGACAAAAAGTGGAATTGCTGCAAAAAATGGATAAAGGCATATCCTTCTTTCTCTAACCATTCTGAAATCTGTTTATCAATTTCACGCTGCTCTGTGGGGGGGGGGGGACGTCGCGGCGCACAATTAACTGGAAGTTGACCTGTCAGCACTATCCTTATCTTCTGGGCAGATGTTTTTATTTTATTCAGCTTATAATTCCTTACTAAATGTAGTATTTCATCTCAATGTACTCCGTCTTTGATAAGATTTAATAAATCTTGTCATTTTAAATATCACTAATACATATCAATAGTTTTCTGGTAGCATTTTCTAATTTCGACTATGTAATGTATGCTTTACGGATGGCACGTTGAAGAATGTTTATAAGTAAACAAATAAATATTAAGCTTTTTTTTTTTTTTTTGTAATTTGATACCCTTTAAATCATAATTGCTCTTTATTCATAATTACAGTTTTCATATTTTTATTTTATCATTCTGCTGCCATCTTACCGATTTAAACTGATGATCTATAATCTGGAAAAATCGATAATCCGGAATCTCCGAAGTCCCGACGAGTCCGGATTAAAGTCTTTTGACTGTATAAACTTAGTACTTTTTTTAAATTAAATTAAAACAGATTTTTAAGGACAAATTTCAAAATCCATTAGTCTTTTTTATATATGTTTTCCTAAGCAACTTCTACCTTCACAAGTACAGGTAGAAGTGGGCAGGACACTAAAATTTCACCATTGGTCATAAAACAGTCACCATTACTTCTACCCCACAAGTTTTGCAGCTCCTTCCCAATTTTAATGCAGTATACCCTGAAAGATGATTCAAGGGTCTCTCATTCCTTTTTCCTTGCCACCAAACTGTTTGGGGAGGGCTTTTGGCTCACCAGTATTTTAAATGTAGACACTATACATCCATGGCAACCCTGGAATCCAAACCCAGTCCCTCAGGAATCCAAATCCAGTCAGCATCACCAGCCACTACATTAATCAGAGCAGTTATACAGGTCAAGTGAGGCTAGATACCAGTTACTCATCATTGGTAGAACAGTATAGCCCTGCAGCAGTAGCTATTAAATTCTGTCCCCAATTTTGATACAGTATGCCCCAAGAGGTGATTCAAAACTCTAATTCACTATCACCAAGCACTTAAGTGGAATCTTGGCTCACCATGTATCTTGAGTATTCTCTTGTCATAGAGACACTTACAAACATCCATGCCTTCCCTGGGATTTGAACACGAGCCCAATGATATAAAAAACCAACTAGGTACAGTCTTTTTCTCAACATTTCACACATTTTTTCATAGCATATAGATGGCCAGCAAAAATTCAACTTCATCAAGGAAGCATTAAATATACTTTTTTGTTATCTTGTACAGTATCCAGGGTTCGTACACATTTCTGCACATGAAAATTAAGTACATTTAATAACTTTTAAGGACCATTAATGAAAAAAAATTAAGGACCTATGAGCAAATGGGAACTGAATTTCAATTAAAAATATTATTCTATGCCTGAATTTCACTTTTGTAATACCATCCTAAAAATAAAATAGATTCCTAAGTAGTATGCATTATTACTAAACATGAATTAACTAACATAATTATTAATAAGTTTGAGAATAAAATAAACTTCATTCAGTTTATCAATTAGCATTAAATATTTTACACTTATAATAGTTGGACATATTTAAAAGAAGATAAGTGGCATTTACGTTTTACTAATAGTTAGATTTATGCTTTTTTTTTTTTTTTTTTTTTTCTTTTAATGTCTCACTTTGTTACATACTTGGTCAGTCTAGAGGTTTAGCAAATAGTAGGGAGATTTTATGTCAAACGACATAGGTTAAAATGAGAAGCGAGATCATAATCCGCATGATTCATAACAAAAGACTGAATGTTGTCCCTTTGCTGCTTGTCTATAGAGAGACCTGCTGATTGGAACAAACCTGAAAGGCCTGATGTAGGCATGGTTGGCAAGTGTTGAAAAGTTAGTCAAGCTCTGCTTAATGCAGTTAATGGCATAGCTTTGTGTAGAGTCCCAGCAGTTGTGATCCAGTTAATACAGAGGCTGTTCACAAATTTTTTAGATGAATTTCGTAAGCGGTAATAAAAAATCGTTTGCTGCAAAAGAAGTAACTGCAATTGTACTATGTTTTTAAAAGTCAAAATTATTGTCTGTGGCTTGAAAGTTTTGTTTTTATTCAAAATGACGAATTTAACAAAGCAGTGGTTCGAAGGCTACATTTATGCTCTTTCTGAAGAAATATGCATACTCCGTTATCTAAAAACGATGTGAGAGTCATGGTTTTGTGATATCTAAAGCGTCGATAGGTAATATCATCAACAAGAAAGGAAAAAAACGTCAAATTGGAGCCTCAAGTGGGACAAAAATTCCAAACAAGTATCCAAGGAAAAAACGGACATCTTCGACTATTGCGAAGGTACGTTGTTTAATGTTAAAAGAAAATCCCCCTAGTCAAAGGACAGTTGCAAATCATTAAATGCTCGGTGTCCATGTAAACAAAATGATAAATGTTGATTTGAATCTTAAAAAGCAAAAAACGCAATGTGCATCGTCTTCTTCCAAGCATATCGCTCAACGCAGGACATGCTGCGAATTCTATATGAGAAACACTTATCCACAGAACAATGGAAAACAATGTCACAATAGATGAAGCATGGGTGTATTTAAATGATTGTAACAAAAAGAGCCATTTATTATCTAAAGGGGAGAAAAATTTAAGCACTGGTTCAAAGAATCGAAAGAAAGTTTTTCTAAGGGATTCATGATTGTTGCTGGTTTTTCTTATACTGGCAAGTTAAAAATAAAGAGAGTGCAAAAAAATGTCAAGATTAACTTCAAATACTATCAAGAACATATTTTATCTCCAATTTTTCTGAAGGAAATACCATCGCTTTATCCACAGTGCCATTAATCTGTGAGACTCCATCAGGACAAAGCTAGCAGTCATACATCAAAGTCCACTGAAAATTTCCTAAAAGAAATGGAACAAAAAACTGGTATTAAGGCCATACCCTTCACTGATATACAGGGGTTGGACAAATATGAAAAACCTTTCAAAACATGTTTCTTTGCTTAATATGGTGTAGGAAACCCGTTGGCATCCAAACAGCTTGCAGTCTTCTCGGAATGGATAAAATACAGTTCCTGTATTTTGCCAAGGGAATATTATAACCATTCTTCCTGCAAAACGGTGGCAAGTTCAGATAACGATGTTGGCGGTGGATAACGAGAACGCACTTTCCGTTCCAATGTAGACCCACAAGGTTCGATAATATTCAGGTCTGGTGACTATGGTTGCCAGGGGAGATGGGACAACTCATCCTTGTGCTCGAAAACCAGTCCTGGACATGTGAGCTGTGTGAACAGGGGGCTTTGTCGTCTTGGAAGACACCATCACCATCGGGGAACAAAGTTTGTACCATGGGATGAACTTGATGGGCCAAAATGTTCACATAAGTCTTGGCAGTCATGTGCCCTGACACAGTTATCATGGGGCTAGCAGAGAACCACGATATGGCTGCCCAAACCATAACAGAACCCCCGCCATGTTTCACTCTTGGCAACAAGCAGTCTGTATTATAGGCTTGAGATGGCATTCTCCAGACGTAAACTCGGACAGAAGTGGGAAACAATGTGAAAGAAGACTCTTCAGACCATATTACTTGCTTCCACTGCGCTATAGTCCAGGCTTTATGACTTAAACACCACCTTTTCCTGTTACGGGCATTAGCATCACTGATGAGTGGCTTCTCAATTGCAACACGGCGAGCAATTCCCTGTTTATGAAGCTCCCTTCTAATTGTTTTGGTACTCACAGGGTTTGGTAACACAACATTCATTTCAGCAGTAACTTTTGCAGCTGTGGTCTTCTTATTTTTCGTCACAATTGCCCTTAATGATCGTCTGTCACGATCACTCAGGACACACTTTCGTCCGTGCTGTGATTTAGCAGATGATGTTTTTCCGCTTTTCAAATATGCGGAATAAATCTTCGATACAGTACCTCTTGAAACACTAAACACCTCGGCTACCTTGCTTACAGAAGCACCTACCATACGTGCTCTAACAATTTGCCCACGTTCAAAGTCTGTTAACTCTGACATAATGCAATGAAACCTCGAACTGAACTGTTTAGCACATTTACGAAGTTGTATAGGTGGCGTCAGTAGTCAAAAACGCCAGCGCCACCTACATATTTCATTAAAATCAATCTTTCTTTTCAAACATGCATTTCACAAGGTGTTTCCATATTTTTGTCCATCCACTGTACCTACTAAATCTCCCAATGTGTCACCTATGGATTTTTGTGCTTTCGGACTTTTAAAAACTGCATTATCCAAACGTTGTCCCAAAATTCTAACAGGACTCTGGAAAGCTGTTCGGGAGGAATGGGATAGAATATCTCTTCTGCCACTTCAAAAGTCATTATTATCCTGGAAAATTGCGGTGTCGAAAGATAGTTCAGAATAAGGGATGTCAAATAGAACATTTAAAACACAAGAATTTTATGTAATTTAGTTTTGTGAACACAATATACATCGTCTAAAAAATGTGTGAACAGCCTCTGTATACTTTAAGGTTCCAATAAGCCATTAAAGCACCAGAGGTGATAAGTTATTTTATATATATTATAAGTCTCAGTAGATGGAAAATAAAAGTTTTACTTGATGGTGTTGATGGTTACTTGATGGGTGTTGGATAATGTTCCATCAAAGTTCGTCATCCTGTGTTCTCCACACAAAGGATTTGGCGACTGGATCCCCTAAAAAACTCCAGTCGCCCTTTAAAAGGGAGAGTATACAAAGGTATTTCCTCCCACCTTCTTGGCGACCCTTCGTGGTGTAGTGGTTTGCACACTGGTAGCAGTATTCCAGAGGTCCGCGGTTCGATTCCTGGCGAAGCATTGTTAATTTTTTATCTTTCCTGCTTTCAGAAATACCTAATCTACAAACCTTCCCAAACATTTTGGCTAGTTTATATCAATTTCCTTCTCTTTAATTATCGATCTTTTCTGACAATAATTATAAATTTGTCTCAATATGCAAACCAATGTTCTCGCTAGTTTCTGTGTGCTTTATCTCCTAACTTGTCAACCTCTCCACAATGTACCTATGAGGGTTTACTTGATCTGGTAAAAGTTAAATAGTCCCCCCCCCCCGATAGACGTGAAGCAAATTATCACTGCATCTGAAAGTAACTACAATATCAGACAAAGAACTTAGAAGATAAAGGCATGTTCTGATGCTAACAAAGTCAATTACAGCTCAACGGTGACGTAATTAAACAAGAACAGTCAAATTCAAACTAAAAATGTGGACTAGTGTTCAAAGGCTGGCTCCGTAACTCTATCACGTGAGGAAACAGAAATGGGAAGTTATAGTAAAGGCTGAAATGATAAACAATCGGGTAATTTACATAATAACTGCACATATCTTTGAAGACTAATTTTCTTTATGTATTCAGTTTCTTTCTTCAGCATGTTTCCTTTTAATTTTAGAATTTTTGGATTAAATTAAGGATTTCTATTATTCTAAAAAACACTAAATGCATTTAGAATGTACAGAAAAAGTGGCTAATTTTATTCCTTTAGTAATATGAACATTCAGAAGAAATATGAAATATATATGGTAAAAGCTGGTTACAGAGCTGGTGTGGCAGAATTTTTAGAATTTAGTGACACACAGAACAACAAAATCCAGAATGGCAAAACTTTTAGAATTTAGAGCAGGCATTGGAAGTGGAATTTAGATAGGCACTACGCAGCAGAATTTAGGATACACAGAGATTGCATCAGGGGGAAAATGCATAGCACCAGCTCTGTGTACGATGCATTTAGACATATTAGATGAATCTCTTAAATTGTAATTTTTCAATTTCTTTATTAATAAAAAAACCTCTTTCTATAATGCTTGCTCAAGTGAGAAGATTAGAAGCATTTTTGATATTTTTCATGCTTTTGTCTAGTAAAAAGTAGAGAAAATAAAGGGAAGATAAACATGTTAATAAAAAAAGATTCTAGTATCAAGAGTACATTCAAATATTATGTTTCCATTGTTCTTCCAGACGTTCTCCAAAAAGTAAGAAATTCATCGCAAACTTTCTGTAAAATGCATATTTTACAGAAATATGCATTTACAGATTTTACATTGATATGTTGATACTATGGACACATTTTTAATTTTGTCACATATTTCTCGAATCTTCTAGAATCGTGGGTCTATAAATCTTGCCTTCAAATCCTTCTAAACTTTCCATGCTGCAGTGTCAAAAATACTAAAGAAAAATTATAACAACCAATTCTGTAACAGCAAAAAGCCAGAAATATTTTGAAAAAAAAAAAAAAGGAAGGAAAAAGTGTAAAATTAATTTTATAGAGAAAACTGATGCATATTCTGAGAATTTTGAATAATCTGAGACAATTGCTTGGGAAAAACGCTTACTATGAAAACATTAAAAAGAAGACATTTTCAATTAATTACATAGCTAATTTTGTTTTTGTTAAGAGCTGTTTTGTAAACTGTGCTTTATAGAATTATACCTTGTTTATTTTTCAAATTCAAAATATTGTATAATAAGTTGCCAAAATGAAACTTTATAATATGACAGCGAAAAATAAAAATGTTTTATTTTAATGTTATTTTTTAAATATAATTTCAATATATTACCATTATTTTGATGAAATTTATTACATTTTACGCTGTTTTAAAAAAAAAGCGTTGAAAAATTCTCAGATATCGGAATTAAAAATTTTCTATAGAAACTGATCTTAAAATCACCAAAATGTTGATAAGTCGCAAAATTTAGAACCGCTTAATAAAAGAATTCACATCCCGAAAAGCGAAAAGTTGTTTAAGAGTTCTTTATTAGAAAAAAATGAATTCTGCTATGCTTATGTTTCACTTCTTGCTTAGAACCTCGAGTATCCCATCACTCTTATATTAGAAATAGAAACAAATTATAACCGATGAACCCATTCAAAAGGGATAAGCATATACATCAGTGAATTGCCAAAAATATTCCTCCAAAATGCTAATTCACACTCAAAATGGCAGTCGTAAAAACAGAGAGAAATTTCAGATGATTAAAATTAAGGACCTTCAACTGATTTTGGCCAAAGTTAAGGACTTTTAAGGACCAAAAATCTATTTAAAAAAATTTAAGGACTTTTAAGGACTCTTAAGGACCGTACGAACCCTGAGTATCCTATATAGACCTAAGTAGATTACGTTAATTGAGTAAGGCAAAGCAATTCAAGAATTATCTGCTTATGGGAAGAAAGCCTTCATGGAGAACTTTCTAAGGTAAAAAAGCTTGTATCTGCATTATGTATGTGGAGAAAACACAAAAATTCCCATACAGTCAGCCTGTTCGTCAAGATTTGAACCCACACCAAATTACCAACATTTAACTACTTTACCTATGCAGCATATGCAAATGATTAGCATTGCAGTACACGTTCAATGCTAATCATTTGGGGGGAAGCAATTATTCAAGAGAGTTTAACAGAAGAAGAACTGAAGCTCTCTGATACTGTAAGTACACTTTCTAAGAAAGTGGTGCTCATGTTGGGCAAAATGAAGCCACAGTGAAGCAAATATAGAATCAGTGGGTGCACGACACATGGAAAAATTACTCTAGCCTTGTCACACCAAATGAGAGAACAGACACAATGTTTCTATGACAATGGGTTGCACAGAAATACCAAGAATCCTAGTCCAAGGATTTGTACCAATTACACAATAATTTGTATCATCGGGTATCTTTCAATCTTTCCTTTAAAGAAAGGGAATCTTTGCAAGATACCTACTGCTGTGATTGCCACTGCTTCTACCCCACAGGGAAGGGCACTAAAATTTTGCACAGAATACTCAACAAGGGCAAATACATGGCATAACACTGTCCTCTCAAACAAGTCTTAATTCTGCCGAAACCATCACAACAATCATATAGGATTCTGGCACCATCACAGTGACAATCATTGCTTTTACAACTATGCATCACCATATCAATCTATCACCTGGAATTATGATTTGAGGTCTGTTTTGATTTTATTCCTACACTCAACTTTTACCATTTCATTTCTGAAGTTTTGCAGCTTGTTGCGCTTCCTTATCTTCATGATTTTCTTACAGCCAAGTTTCCAGAGGGCAACATGTGACTTAAGATGGCATGCAAATTTTGTTTTTCACTGCCCATCTGATGATACCACTCCCTTGTCCTGCTAGTTTTTCCAGTATGTCACGAATCAAATGCATCTGGTAAACAATTGGCAGATGAATAGCCCTGTATGCTTTATCCATGACTGTACTAAATGAAAAACATGATGGATATAGCTATCCCAAACATACATTCAAAACCTTTTTCTTTCAATACCAAGGCATGTGACGACAGTTACTACTAGTCATGGAAGCTATGCAAAATACTGATATTTTCCTGTTCTGCAAGTTGAATGGAATTATAATTTTAATCCTTTAATCCTTATACCTTATATTATTTTTAGAGTAAATATAGCTTTGTTTTTTGTTCTTCATGATGGTACATTTTGGATGGCCAGCAATGTAATTTATTGTTTTCAACATTACTGAATATATGCTGTTATTTATTTTATTTACACAGTGCATTTTGTCAAATAACAATATGCAATTCCTCTTCTCGAAATAAAATATCATAACAAAACCAATATATTTTTTTATTTTTTAATACAGAAAATGTAATTACCACTATATTATCTGGATTAAAACTTTCAACAGCTTCTATGAACTGGAGTTGTATTGACTGATATTGCTTACTGTGCTCAAATGCGAAATAATGGATATCATCTTTCGTTTCTAATAAACACATGGATAATCCTTTAAACAGACAGACACAATGTAAGTAATAAAACAAAATCATATAAATATTCAGAAAAGTAAAATAAATTATAAAAAAATGTTATTTTTAAGGGACTAGAAAATACTTCTTTTAATAGATCTGAAAGACTGTTAGATATACTGAGGCAAAGTTATTTGTAAACATTGTTTTAAAGAAACTGAAAACTTCATTCACTGAAATAATTTTGCTTTTATATAAATCTAAAATATACTGCACATGCAGCATTAAAATATATTATCGCTTTGCTTTACTCACCAGGAATAGCTTTTTATGATAAATGTTCAAAAGTTAAATTTTCAAGTTTCAAATGTTAAATTAACATTTTCTATTTATTAAATACTTTAAAGGAAAATAATTTCCTTAAAAGATAAAGACACAACATTTTTTAATTCAAATATCTAATACAGCAGGCAATCCAACTATACATGACTTTTATTAAATTGAAAACAGTGTTACAGAAACTGAATTATGTTACACAACTGTAAATTACTGGGCCTTGAAAATAAGCTCGAGTTTATTAATAAAGTAAGCTATAAAAAATAAGCTTGAGTTTATTAATATACATTCTAATAAAAGACATAACAGAATAGATACTTATTTTATGTATACATATTTTCAATTCACATGCAAAAAACTAAATAATTATATATGTGTGTATGTGTAATAAGATGACTTCGAGTAAGCTGCAACAGACCGACAATGATTATCTGTGGGAATTTTACTGCGTAGTTAGAAAGATGCATTCAAAGGACTGACTTTTAGACAGACGTGCCTGAATTGAATATCACTTTTATTGGCAAATAAGAACTAATTATTAAAAACATATTTTTCATCCCACAAGCTCACGGGTGCAATATGCACTCCACAATTTTATATACAGTATCACATTTTAGATAATGTCATAGTTAGTAGCACGACAAAGCAAACGAAGCGAAGTAGCATCTTGATTGCAGGAGAGCTGAAAAAAAAGGCACAATTATCCAATATGAAGGCTCACCAAGAGAAGGTTTTGGCTTAGATGAGAAAGGTTTCAGTTCTCAAAATTTTGAGTTCAGGTTCCAAGTCAGCTACGCCATCAGCATTATGCAAGCCATGCAAGATGGACTGATTTAGAAATGAGGCAGTCCAGAAAAATTACGAATTTTACAAGAGAGGTAGAATGACGGGGTTAATTTTGGTTTACACATTCAAAGAGAAAAAAAGTTTAGTGACAGAAAAGCCTTCTTAGCCAAAGAATCAGAGCAGTAGCTAAGAAATATTACACAATATGTACAGCTAGTACGAGAAAGCAAATGAATGGCTTCAGGGATATAGCCTTGAGGTTTCGCTATGCCCCATCATTTGGTTCATAAACTTTTTCATATCTAGATATATAAAAAAATATAAAAATATAATTTCAAATTCAGAATATATAAAAACATGTAAACAATTCAACTTAGAAATATGAATGAAAAGTTCTAACTGAAAGCATAAAAATTCAAGATGTTCTTCTTCAAGATTACACAGCTTGTAAAAACTAAACCTTCCTATCAATAGAAAGTTTTTCCAAAACACAGTTATGAAATTGCATTACATTTATTATACACTTATTCATAATAAAACAAAAATAGAGCTGCATATTGTAGAGCAATAGAATACCTGATATGCATAAAAAATGCAATGGACAAAAAAAGATAAAAAAACAAAGTTTGAAAAAAAATGGACAGGTCCACTGAAATGTAAATCAGCCTAATAAATTACTGATGGCTGTGGTATGCTCAAATATAGTTGCACCTAAAAACCTCCATTCTGCAAAAAAGGTCAAGAGCTTTTAGTATTGTATGAAAAATCCAAGTTAAGACTTTCAATTTACTCTTATGATGGCCATAAAAATTCTCTTACATTACACATTTGATATTAAAAAAAAAAAAAAAAAAACTAAAGACACAACTTTTTCCTCCCTGAATTCTTAGAAACCAACATGTGAATGTGTTTGCCATTACTGCAAGTTGTGTTATTTATTTTTATCTTCGCACTTCATGAGCTGGCGAGATATCTCGGTTGATTGCGATTCAATCTTGGGGATTGCTTTAATAAGAAAGTACTAAACATTTTTAAGGCTTCAATTTGTAGCTATGAAAATTATCGCTTTATAAAAATCTTAAAAATCTGATGTTCAGCGAGCTTTACATCTTTGTATTTAATGCTCGCAAAAGTTAAAGTGCAGATTACATACAACGACTTTAGCTATGAAGGAAGTAACCAGAGCTCTCAAAAAGTAAATACTATTTGAATTTAATTCATTAATGGCTGAAATAAAGATAATTATCTTACATATAAGATGATACTAGATAAGAAGCATACACAATGAAAAAAACTGAATGAGTTAATTTATGGAATAATTAAAACAAGTACCTGGTTTTCCTAAATGAGGCCAATTTTTGGGAGATACTAGAACAGTTGACCTACCATGTGTTCTGCCTCTTCCTTTCCTTTTACTGCAAAAATGAAATAATTACTAAAGAAAACTTATATCTCTAAAAATAAAACAAATATAACACTATTTTTTAAAATGCAAATTTTTATTTAGATATTACATTATTAAACATATACCCTATTTCTAATTAGATACATAATAAGAAAATCAAAAATAAAAATTTAACAAGTTATCACATGCAATGCAAAAGAACATGAATATATAACTGCTTAATGTTGGCTATGCAAATTTCGGCTGTTCACACAAATATTTTCTTACATAAAGAGATGAGTTTTCTACATAAATTGAGTATAATTTAATAATAAAATATTCAGGTAAGAAAAATCATCTTTCATCTCAATAATCAAAACAAATGTCTGAGTACTGATGTGCTTCCCATCTAAAGTTCGGAATATTAATTTTTTATTTATGAAGGAAAAAAATTCTGCAGTTTATTACAAAATTTAGGTTAATTTGATTTCATACTGTTGTTAGACAATTATTCTCTTAAAATTATAACAACTCTCAAATTACATTACATTGTAGTGATCCAACTCACTTTTTTGTATTTTAACAGTACATGCATTACATAAGTTGAGTTACAATATACATTCTAGGTAGATTGAATACATAAATGAGAGAAATTTTAACATTTTAAGAATTAAAGTGAATTATCATTAATAACCTTTCTATAATAGTCATACATAAAGTAATTCCTTTAATGATTAAATAATATTTTATAAGGTATGATGTTAGTAATCATTCTGCATAGTTTGAATAAGTCTATCCTTTGGGACAAAAATTCTTCATACAAATATAAAATTTCAAGGATAAACCTTATCATTTCTGTTGAAATGAAACTACCACATGACTGATTAAAATTAACTTTCATTATAAAAATTTGCATATAAAATAGCTCATGAAATTCTTTAATGTAAAACTTGAATTCATCAGATAATTTAATGATGCACTTTTCTTACTTTTATTTATGATTAAAAATAACTTTGGAATTAAAAATTTAATAATAATAATCCATTTAAGTTTGAGCAAGATAAGAATGAAAACAAATATGAAACTTTATAAGCCTTATCTGGTGCCTAGAAATCATATAACGCAAAACAATGATGCCACCATAAATACAGTCAAAAGTCTTTAATCCAGAATGATCTATAATCCGGACTTCAAAGCTACAAACTTTCTGCGCATGCGTAAACGCATTGCGCATAATACCTTTACGTATGCACATATGCATTTACGCATGCGCATAATATGTTTACACATGCGCATTTAATGTATAACGGACGGTATAAGCTAAGCTAAAATTATCTAATTATCTATTTCAGTTAATGCTGCAGATTGCGTTGTTCCTTAATCTTTGAATTGGATCCAGCTTATTATTTTTTGCAGACTGTTAGAGCAATTATATAAAAGTAAGCTTGAACTTTCGATTATGTCAAAAAGAATTTCTGATTCTGAAGATGCCAAAGGATCTACAAAGCGAAAGCATGTTTCGATGTCCATCAAGCAAAAAGTGGAATTGCTGCAAAAAATGAAAAAAAAATGAATCTAACCATTTCGAAATCTGTTTATCAATTTCATGCTGCTCTATTGGGGGGGATGTCGCAGTGCGCAATGAACTGGAAGTTCATCTGTCAGCACTATCCTTATCTTCAGGGCAGATGTTTTTATTTTTTCGGCTTATAATTCCTTACTAAATGTAGCATTTCATCTGGATGTACTCCATCTTTGATACGATTTAAATCAAATTCCTTGCCATTATTAATATCACGAATACACATCAAATAGTTTTCTGGTTGCAATTTTCTAATTTCGACTATGTGTAATATATGCTTTATGCATGCGCGCGTTAAAAGAAATGTTTAATAAAGTAAACAAATAAATATTAAGCTTTTCTTTGTAAATTTTGATACCCTTTAGATCATAATTGCTCTTTATTTCATAAATTACGGTTTCATATTTTTAATTTTATAATTTCTGCATGCCATCTTACCAGATTTAAACTTATGATCTATAATCCGGAAAAACCGATAATTCAGAATCCCCGAAGTCCCGACGAGTCCGGATTAAAGACTTTTGACTGTATAATGAATTTAAAAGAATATATGATGTCTGCATAAAATATAACAAAATTATATTATTGATTTCAGTAGCTTCATTTTACTAGAAACTTGATTCTGCAATAAAGAATTAAACCTTATGTTTATTATATTAAACATACGATACTAAAAGCAGAAGTTAAAAAAGAAATATTTACTTTTCCTCTAAGCTACTTAATCACACAAACAATTTTTTAAGGTAAAATTCTAAGCAACATTCATATTATTTAAATTCCTCTCTCTTTAGTGAGGCTGATGATAAGTACGTGTGAGTTAGTAGTTGTCTACAATCAGAAGATTTACATCAAATCCCAAAATCACCAGTGTTTCTTACATTTTTATTACTATTTTATATAAAAAGAAAATTTATTCATAAGTAATTTTTTAAAAAAAAAAAGTTTGAAAAAAAGAACGTGGAATTTTTTTTTTAGTAAAAAGAAATATTCGATTACCTTATTCTTGCTTAATATACTTTTAAATACATTTATTTGCAAGTGATTGCCATAAAAATATTCAAATGTGCAGCTCTAGTGTATGATTAATGAAGATTTACCAAATTTAATTTTTTCATATTATGTGTTTCTAAAATTTCAAAATATAATGGAGGAAAGATTATTATTACAGAGGATATAAAGAAAAGACTTTTATGACTTATAATTTTCCTTTGCAATTTTTAAGAATAACCGGTCCAAAGAAAATTTTAATTATAATATGCCATAATTCAGTACACCTAATGCCAATATTTAGTAAACATACCTCTTACATAAAACTTTTCCACTATAGTTGGATAATCACAAAGATTAATTCACACAACACTTAGTACCATTTCCTATCGCCAACAGTAAATAAATTGTAATGCTGTTACAAATAGTATTATGAAACTCTTCCAAATGCTTTATTTTGTAATTTTTCATAATTTTGGAGAAAGAGTAACTGGACAAAGAAAAGAATATTTCAAAATCATGAACAAATTGGGGAATGTTAACACACTAAAATATTTCTAAAAACTTTTATGAAAATATACAAAATTTAAAAAAAAATCGAATTATTCATAAAATCTTAACGTGTATTGATCATTTTCATGTTTAACACATTGAAATATTTCTAAAATATTATCAGACATTATTTTGCTTTAACATCTTTGAAATATTTGAATATTAACTTTGAATACATCTTCAAATACTAACTTTGAAAGATTTCTAAAATTCGCCCAGCCAGTATAGTGGTTAGTGACCCCGACTGCCAGAGCAATGGGGGCCGGGTTCGAATCTTGGAGATGGCATGGTTCTCTTCATAAGAGGTAACTGTGGCCACCTATTAGGTGCTTCCATAATCAAACAACCACCACTTCCGGCCCTTGTAGTTATGCAAAGCTAATGGCTATTATATAAAGTGCCTGGCCATTTAAAAAAATTCTAAAAACTATTATTGAAATATATAAATTTTAAAAAATAACTAATTTATAAAATCTTAAACTGTAATTGTTATTTCCTTATTGGGATAACAAGTTTAATAGAAAAATCATTGAAATATTCCGTCAATCAATAAAAATTCTACAACATTTTCCTAGATTCTAAGGGGATTTCCAAATTTATCTATTTCAACAGCCCAGTGCATTCAGGAGCATATAGTTCCTTTTCTTCCACTTCCTTCCAGTTTCATCTTCTGTACTGGAAGAAACATGTTTGTTTTGCAAAATAAACTAAACCTGTCTGTCACTATCCCATTTCTTGCTTTTTCCACTAGGTTCCTGTGAATGTATAACGCTACAAAATAAGCCAATGTCATTAGGTGGTTCAAGAACAGCTGAATAATGAGAAGGTTATATCTTTTAATGACATGAGCAATGAATCTAAAGAAATGCACTGACACATTAATGATGTTCAAAATACTGCATAATTCAACATTGAAAGAAAAGAAACTATCTAGAAAAAGTTCTATGAAATACTTAAAGTAGTTAAAGCAAAGTAATGCCTGGGTGAAATACAGAAAAGTGGATTACAAATATAAAAATTAAGGGATTAGATGAACATAATATGTTTTTAGTTATTTTAATTTACTTCCTAGGTAGGTAATAAAAAAAAAATTCTGTTTACTACTACTTTGCATCTTGACTGCGAATGAAAAGAATAACAGCAATTGTACACATAAAGGAAATTTAACTTAAAAATATTATAAACACAAGGAAAATTCTGACATTAATTTGTCTGCCTGCAAAAAAAAAGAAAGTAATGAAATCAAGGCACGCAATAAAGAATTCTTTTTCAAACACTATAACTGATGTATAATAGTTTAAAATGCTAATCTGTGATTATATAAAAAGGATATACAAATTTGATTTTTTGTGGAAGCTTTTTAATATGTTGACTGCCAAACATGAGATAACTGGTATTAGCGCTCTTCTTCAGGATGCCCAATACGAGTTATCTCATAGTTTCTTGACTTGCCACTACGAGTTACTTACTCGCTTAGTGCTTGCTTTAGCTGTACCGAGGCGACAAGTCAAAGCAAGTCTGTACAAATCAACTTGTAATGGGCTTCTGCGAAGAGCTTTGTCTAACAAAAGCCGACTGTGAGATAATTCATAGGACTTTTTTTTCTACAAAAAAAATTCCTGTAAACTTTTTAACAATTGTTACAAATCATAATGAGTATTTTTAATAATATAATATAATTAAATCAATTTGGCTTCTCGGACCGGAATCTGAAAAGTGCCATTGCAGTCAACGTGTTAAGTCATATTTCGGATGGACTACAAATCAACACGAAGGAGGAAAATACAAATATACAAACACTTGTTCATTCTGGACAACTTTTGATCCAAATAATTTCTTCATTTCATTATCAGGATTTAAATTCCTCAGATCTATAGATAAAACTGACTTTTCCTGACCAGGCTTCTCATGATACTGCCGGCTAAAAGCTGCTTCAGAAGAAGAAGGTTCGGGTTCTCCCAACATTTTATTCACTTCTCTGATAGAAGCTTCAACTTCATCTTCCTAAATGAGCAAAAATAGAAAGAAATCTTACAACTATACAAAAAAATTACTCTGTTCTATACATATACACTGCTGGCCATTAAAATTTCTATATTGAGAAAGAAAGAAAATAGCAAAATCTTATTTATTTTACATATACAGTATAACAGGAGGAAAACATGATTAAATTTTCAGGTGGTTTGGAGTAAACAGAGCTGTCACCTTTGGCAGCAAGAACAGATGTAATCTGGCTGCACACTGAGTCAAACTGAGCTTGGACGACAGAGCTGAGCTTGAATACCTCATTCCATGAGACTTTGACTCTATGCCACGGTGCATCAAACATATGATTGGCAAGTGGTGATATGAGAGTCTCTCAGCAACCCATGACCAAATATTCTCAACTACTACTCTCAAGAGAATTGTGCAAGCTGGAGAACATACAGGCCATGTCAGTAGTCTAACATCTTCTGTACTGAAGAAAGTCAGGGCAGCAAGGGCAACATGTGGTAATTCATTATCTTCTTGAAAGATGCATCACACAGGCTTTGAAGATAAGGGACAGCTACAAGCTTTAACATATCAGATATATAATGGCAACTGTCCACATTACTGGCTATGCAAGCAATAGGTGACCAGGATGTATACCAGCACACCAGGTGCTGTGCCCATTTGAGGAAAAGGAATGCAATCTGTCAACATTCATTCTCCTTGGTACCTATACACATGGATACATCTCTCATGATGCTGTACACAAAACTAGATTCATCTGAAAAGACAATGTGATACTACTTCTGTGTCTAGTGCTATGATCCCACCCCTCCAGGCATGAATGTCTCTGCTGCAACATCAAGAGAAGCTGCAACAATGGTACACTCGTACTGACAGTCCACAGTGCTGCAGATGTTGCAGTTTGTCAGTACACTTGTCATCCTGCATACAACCCAAGTTTTTTATTCAAGGTATGTGATTCTCGATATATGATCATGAAAGGCCAAGTGAACAACCAAGACCCTACACAGTGTTCAGTATTGTCCTTCTGGACTCAAGAATTTCTTAATCACCTGACAGTCAAAAGATCCTGAACAACAATCTACACAGCAGCACAAATCAATGGCCAAAAATAAATAACAGCAGACTTATAAAATCAAATGAAGTGATAAAATGATGAACAAGTATATAAACTATATAAAACTAAGCTAATAAATTTTAATGTAACGCAGAAATAAAATCAAAAGCATAAGACACAATAAAGCATATAGCATTAAAATGCAAGGACAAAACATCAAAACTAATCAAATTAAATAATAAAGACCAATCTCTTTCAGGTATTCAAACAAATTGGTATTGACCTCTTTTCCAATTATATGGACAATCATTAACATGCTTCTATCAAAATTTCTACTCAATCTGAAGCCCAATAGTCGGCTTTCCTAAAAGCAGGAACTTCCAAAAGCTTATCCCCAAGCTACTGAACAGCCAATTGACATTAGCAAAGACAAATAAATCCCTCGTGTTTTAGAACAGAGGCCAAAGAAGTGTGTTAGAGACAGTATCTCACCTCTCAACTACCAGGAACCTCCTTTCCAGTCTCCCCACAAAGCAAATGCAGTTTCCTTACCACGGTAAGAGACAATAGAGTTATCATAGCAACTCACAGTGAGCTCCATCCTCCAAAGAGGAAACCACAAGAGAGAAAAGGTAATTTAAAGCAGCAAGGAGGGGAAAGGAAGGATAGATCACTGAGGCTACAGGATTGTGACACCTGTACCCCCCCTCAAGATGATGATTCCATAAAGAGTTATGGTACCTCAGGTTTGCTACACCCACATTTACGAAAATTGAGCCCCTGAGAGCTGCATGCCACCTTTATGGTGTAGCAATTTTAATAGTCAGCAATGTAACCAAAGATATATATATTAATGACAAAGTCTGGGTAGTGCTTTGGGTAGAGCAATATCATTAAGAGCCTTAATATCATTAACATGTCGCTGCTGCAGCTTCATGCCAGTTCTTAGCTGAAGTGTGGCTGTTTCATGACCTAGCAAGCTGCTTCAGAAATCAACTAACTAAAAAAAAATTAAATCAAAAATATCACAAAAGGAACAATAATATTATACATTCATATATGAAAGGAAACCAGCTAAAACCTGAAATCAAAAACTTATAATTTACCAATCATTTTTGCCTTTAACTGGGCAGGTCTAGGATTGGCCAAAGTAGCTAGCAAAGTTCAAATTACCTTCAATTTGCTTCTGATGTTTTTTTAGGAAAAACATTCTTGAAATAAAAACATATTTTTATTATTTAATGGCAAAATTGTTAAAAGATGTATTTTATTTCATTTAAAAATGAAATAAAAAAAGACTATAAAAATAAAAGCAAATAATTAAAAATGTTATTACAATTTTTTTATTAATTTAAAATTGACAAATGAATGATGATCTGATCGCTGTCATCTGCTTTTTTTTTCACTTGTTTAAGGAATAAGCTTTTATGATTAAGATGACTAAACATGTCAGTCACTGCTCAGTGTGAAGTATGTGAAAAAATGAAATTCAAGTTGACCCCAATGTTAAGTTCAAGAACAAATTCTATGCATGTTTGATGAAAATTGTACACAAGGAAAGTTAAAAAGTCTCAAAAAGAAAAAAAAAAAAGAAAAAAAAGAAAAGCTTCCTCAGATGATTAATAAAGCAAAATTAACAAAAGATTAAAAAAAAAAAAAGTGTTGATTACAAAAGGCTAAGATGTAACAATGCAAGTGGTCATGAAAACACAAAAATATCACAAAAGAAACAATATTACTATAGATTAATATATGTAAGAAAATCAGGCCTACAAAAAAAAAATGCCTCCTGTCTACAAAAGAATGTCTAGTCACTCAAAGCATGACTTTTAAAGAAATAATTCCCAGTTTCAAGTAAATCTAAACAAACTGGATTGAACTGATCATTTGATTATTATTAAATACACACTTTAATAACTGAATAAGTTTACTTCTCTTCAGACACCACAAAAATATAGCCTTTGATCCATTGTTTATTTTTCAGCAACATTTTAACTCTTTGAAGGGGGGTGGTTACCTACAGTAACCGCTTTTCTACTGAACGTCTTACTCACTCGTGCGAGTGGTTTTCAAGATTGACCGTTTCTGAAGTTCCCTTTAGCTCACTAAATGGCAATCAAAAAACATAAGCCAGTAGTTGATACAGCAATTCATCTTCAAGAAAATAAGCATCAGCCATGGAAGACAACATCAGGACGATGTGCACTCTGCAGCACCAAGAAAAAGTCTGTAAGAACAGTGTGGGAATGCAGCACATGCAAAGTTGCACTCTGCTTGGAAAAGAAAAACTGTTTGCATGAGTACCATAGAGACTGCTCTATAGGAATGTGTTCTATAGATCTAGATGGGCGGTCGTCACTGACACTAACGACCAGAAGTGGTCATTTTTTTCATGCGTCTTGAACAAAATATGTGTAATTGTTGCAAATAATTTCATTGTAACACCTGATATAGTAAATAAAACAAGAGTTTTACTGAAAAAGTTAATTGTCTTTTCCTGCCCCTCAAAGAGTTAAGGGAAACAATATTTTTAATGCTGCAGATGATAATTAAACCTTATTCCAACTGGATGCCAGTCATGTTTGTATTTTAAAGTTAATATTTAAAGTCATTGAGAAAATCAAAATCGTTACAAAAGTGTGTGTACACCCTCTGTATATGTCAGTAAATCTACATTCTGTCTTAATAGTTCTCAACGTCCTGCAGAAATTGTATAGAAGATCATATAAGAAGACTTAAAAAAAAGGAAAAATGGAGTGGAGGAAAATAACCTTCTGCTTCGTCAATTAATAATGAAGTACCTATTTCCGGAAAAGCACTGAAAATAATGATCATGACAGTAACCTTGGAAAGATTACAGAAAACCTGCAAGTAAGCAATAAAAATGTGTGTTATAAAGCTTATGAGAGATATTTCAAATGCTCAGGGCTATTTTCTCTACAGCCATGCAATCCATGCAAGTTAGGCAGAATAAAATAAAAAAAGAAAAAATGATACCAGCAATGTTACTTGTAATTTTTGCAGTAAGAAATAAGATATCATGAAAAAGAGATCTTCTGCCTGAATACCTACTGCCAAAAAAGTGCTACTAACATCTGATAAAACATTTTTGCCACTAGCATTCAAAAAAAAAAAAAAAAAGTATACATGGTACCATAAGTAGACTGAGAATGCACAAACCTATGAATCATGATTGCTGTATTTTTAGCTGTACAGAATGATGAACATACCTATACAAAGCAGAATTTGGACAAAAAAATTGTATCCACTTTTGTCTGTTTTTAAAGGCTATTAAAGATAATAAAATATTCAAAGGAGCAGCTTCAGATTAATTCATAACTAGATATAATGATGTTTTTGTACTAGAAAATGTTTAGGAAATCAATGTAAACATTAATGAGAAAATAGGTTACGTAACTTCAAATTTTATATCAAAGTGCACACACAAGTAAAAGTAAACAAATTTTAATATTCATATGATAATCTCTTTGAAATGATTTGTTCAATTATCATAATTACATGTCATAAAATACAAGTCAATATATTATCAAACTGCACAAGTCAATGAAAATTTAAACACAGATCATAATATTATTATTTATATATCTATTTTATAAGGTTTCTATATTTTTGAGAAAATGCTTTTAATTATTTGTTTATTTTTATTTACTTATTTATTTTTGAAAAAACTAAAAAATTCTGGCTAGTCTACTAAGCTGAAGTACAAGTAAACTTGTATTATACTTATACAAGCATTCTATCTCTCTAGTAGATTTCAGCAATAGATGAGTAACACTTTAAATGAATTAAAAGAAAATCACTAAAATACATTATAAAATTTTAAAAAATCCTGAAAACTAACTCCATCATCTAAATTTTCCTCTGTACTCTTTTGACTTTTCAATTTTTTCTTCTTTTTCTTCTTCCTACGTTTAAGACTATCTGTACTATGAGTAGAATCTTGTTTCTCCAATTTATTCCTTTCTTGGCCATCTTGAGGAGGGTCATTTTCTCGATCATCATCTTCCTTTGCTTCTGTATCAGACAATGAATGTTCAACACTGTTCAGCTATAAAACAAATAAGACATTGCAAATAAGACATTGAAATGAAATATTACTTAAATAAAAAAAATTAATAAAAAGTTAAGCTGTACTTTTTTCTTTAATGCAGTACTCACCACTTATTAAACTTCCTACTTAATTAGTGGTTCCTAAAGCTCAGTTCTGAAAACCAAAACAAATATACAGAGTGTCTCACAAAAGTGTTTGTACACTTTAAGAATCTGCAGAAAAAGTGCTAGAACTCAGAACTGAATTCGAAGATAAAGCCGATTTTTTTTCATATCATTTCCAAGACTTTGAATAAAACCAAACTTTTTAATTTTTAATACCGACTTATTTTATTTTTCTAAAATTCAAAATGTTAGGAGGCATAGATAAAACACGCCACAAAAGTGATCGTACACTGAAACATTTTCGTAAAATTCCATAAATAAAATTATCATCTAAAACTTCTTTTTCATTTTTGCATTTTGGTGATGTTTAAAAAATTGTATGGCTTTATTTTTTCCTTTCTTACTTCATTATACTTTATTTAATGTTTAAAAATGGCTTGTAGTCATAAGGAAACAAGCAGCAGCATTCGAAAATGTATCATTTTTTATCATAAAGATGGAAATTCGATTCGGGATATCTCTAAATTAGTAAATTTATCTCATTCTATAGTGCAGTATGTGACAACATAGTTTAAAGAAGAAACTGGATCCAAAATAAAGTAAGAAGAGGTTAATTTAGAAGTCAAACAACAAAAATCAGCATTATACTTTCAAATTTTCACAGGACAAGTTTCGATGGTTTTACCGAACCATCATTCTCAGCTGCAAAAGTGCAAAATGCTGTTTTGCACTTTTGCAACTGAGCAAACAATGCCGTTTTTGTTGTTTGACTTCTAAATTAGTACTTGTTCGGCATGTAATGGTATCATTACATGCCGAACAAGTACTAATTTAGAAGAGGTTATTCAGCAAAGAAGACTCAACGTAATCAGACATTTAAAGTTAGAAAATCTATAAAACATCCATATTTCAGTGTTTTAAAGATTTCTACAGAATTTACTGAAAAACTTTCTACTTCAATTTCACTTAAAACTGTTCGACAAGTAGTCAGATCAGCTGGATTACATGGGCACTTTGCTCGAAAAAAATATTTTGGAAATGAAAAAAAAAAAAAAAAATCAATGGTTCTTAAAATCAGTGGTAAATATTAGAATCATATCTTATTTACAGATGAAAGCAAGTTGTAGAGAGGAAAAAAACAAAGTGCTTAATTACAAGACCTTGGTTGGTACAGTAAAGCGTGGAGGTGTTCTTGTGTGAGGGTGTATGTTAGCATCAGGGTTAAATAATTAAGTATTTATTGATGGCACAACGACCCATGCTTTTTATTTAAATATTTTAAAAGATAATTTAAAATTATCTGCTCAAAATTTAGATACTGGAAGCAACTTTATTTTTTATCAGGATAATGATTCTAAGCACAGAGCCCTCAACATTCCCCTTTTGGGTGTCTATATAATTGCCCACAAGTTCTGAAAACACCACATCAGTCACCAGATTTAAACCCAAAATTAGATCTTGGAGTATGAAGACACAAACCGAACTAAAAACAGTAATGATGGAAGAATGGAAGAACAATGATGCAGATATTACCAAAAAAAAAAAAAAAAACTGGCGAACTCTTTGCCCAGACGTTTGAATGCTGACATAAATACTGCAATATATACTACAAAATACAATAATTACTAATCAGTTCAGATGTCTTTAAAGCGTACAAAGACTTCTGTGAGGTTACTTTTTTTTAATTGATTTTCCGAAAAAAATTTTAAAAAATATAATATTCATTTATAAAATAATTAATGTAGTTTCTCCAAGATAAATTTAGAGACATTATTAAAAATTTTTCATTCTAAAATATTAACTTTTCTTAATGAATAAAGCACTATTTCACAGAAACTCGTAAGTGTACAAACACTTTTGTGAGCAACTGTATATAGTAATTAATGGATAGAAAATAGAAGGAGAAAACAGGCCATTTAGCAAACTCATTGTTTGCCCCTTATAAAAAAACACAGACTGGTAAAAGACTGATTCTTCATTGCCAAAATATGCTACTAATTTCCACCAAAACTATTTGTAGTCATCCACGCAATAAAAATGACACATTTGTTCACAGAAAATTCTCAGAAATTATCTAAAATAAATAGAAATTATTAAAAGATGACTAATTTACACTTTCAGTAGAAAGGGACTGGTTTTCAAACAAAGGAGGGGAAAAAAAACACTAGGCATGTGTGTAACAGCAAAGTGAGAGATCATGTCTTGTGCTATTGTTCTTCTAGTGCAGGGTTTCTTAGACTAGGGGTCTTCAACCTTTCACGTCCGAGGGCAACATCAATAAATCACAAATACACAAAAAAAATACACAAAGATCCGCGGGCCACATGTTTGTCAAAAAATAGTGTAGTCAGAAAATTTATATAAAAAAGGGAGGTTAGTTTTACAAGACTACAATTAATTCTAAGCGAAGAGATAGTGTTACAGATTTGTATATATATATATATATACATTGGTTCTAAAAATTAAAGTGAATTTAAATGTTTTGCAACTTTTTTTAATGGTGGAAAAAAGTATAAAGATAATTGCACAGAATGATGTTACAAAATGAATTTATGGTAAAAAAAAAAAAACTTACATTACTTGCGAGGATGGTAGTTACTTTAGTTTTAAAGCGAAATTTGGCATCCAAATATCCGGTTTAATCTGTGTTGTTGCAATCCGTAAAATACACCAAATGTATTCAAATTAAAATAATACACAGCATTTAATAACACAAAATTACAACATATTTGAGAAAAAAAATATTTTCCGAATTTTAAAACACGACCACGCACGTGCCATTTTTATGAAAAAGCTGCCACGTAGCACAAAAACCCAGTTAAAAAAAAAGTCAAATGACTCCCTGTTGGCACATTCTATGATGTGCGGAAGGGTAGAAAGGAGTAATAGAAATGACATTCAGACGTCTCAGCTTCAATATGTGAAAAATATACATTAAAAATTAAATTTGTCGTAAATTTTGTGCATACGTGCGTACTGGGAGGCTAACTTATTATAATAATTTTACAATTACCAAATATTTTTACACAGTGTATCTGAAAACAGATAAAGATAAGGTGGTACGACTACCTTGGCAACATTTGCCGATAAAAATCTTCACTGCCGTTTTCTGGTTTATATTTATAAATTCTTTTAAAAATAAAAGCATTCATTATAAAAGAAAAAAAAAACTTAAAAACAAAAAATCCTGTATATAAATATTATAAATAAACATATTTAACATATACAGTCAAAAGTCATTAATCTGGACTCGTCGGGACTTCGCCGATTCCGGATTATCGATTTTTCCAGATTATACATCATCAGTTTAAATCTGGTAAGATGGCATGCAGAAATTACAAAATTAAAAATATGAAACCGTAATTTATGAAATAAAGAACAAGATGATCTAAAGGATATCAAAATTTACAAAAAGAAAAAGCTTAATATTTATTTGTTTACCTTTATTAAACATTTCTTTCAATGTAAGTTGTTTAAGTTGCTTTCGTTTTCATGTGATAATACTTTCTCTTTAATTTTATTAAACAGACATAATTTCTTGTTTCAGTTACAAAGTTCCGCTGTTGAAGTCCTATGGAATTGCTGTGTCGAGAATACCGACTAATTTGTCAATCGAAATTTTTTCGTTTTAAATAGCCTCTGGGTCACTTTCTTCACTATCGGAAGCGAATTATAATGACGAGGAACTTGATTTAAATCACATCAAAGACGGAGTACATCGAGATGAAATACTACATTTAGTATGGAATTATAAGTAAATAAAATAAAAACATCTGCCCTGAAGATAAGGATAGTGCTGACAGATCAACTTCCAATTCATTGCGCTGCGTTTCCCCCACCCCACACCGCCACAGAGCAGCGTGAAATTGATTTCGTGAAACAGATTTCGGATTTCGAAACATACTTTCGTTTTGTAGATCCTTTATATATTAGTAAATATATATCGGAAATTCTATTTGACATAATCGAAAGTTTAAGCTTACTTTTATAAAACTGCTCTAACAGTCTGCAAAAAATAATAAGCCGGATCCAATTCGAAGATTAAGGAACAACGCAATCTGCAACATTAACTGAATTAGATAATTTTAGCTTAGCTTATACCATCCGTTACACATTAAACGCGCACACACATATTTGCAGGCATAAAGGTCTTACGCGCACTCGTAAACGCCTATGTGCATGCGTTAATGCGACGCATGCGCAGAAAGTTTGTAGCTTTGAGGTCCAGATTATAGATCATTCCGGATTATGGGTTCCGAATTAACGACTTTTGACTGTATATATATTTTCCATTAAATAAATTCAACTAAATAGGTATCTAAATGATGGCGTCTTGTCCCCCGTTGTCACTTGTTTCTCCATTTTGCGGAACCCCATATCCTTTCAAATGTTGAGTATGAGCCTGCGTAGATGGGCCAACAAAATTGTATAGATGATTCACTTTAAACCTATGTTAGAGTTAACCTGTATAACCTACAAGGGTCGCCAGTTTTCGCGAGATATCTTGGTAGTTGTCATAGTACGTAAGTACTGATAAGACAAGACAGACAAAGAAAAAAATGAAAACATTTCGAGGCATTCTTTTTATAATATAAACGTTCATTTTCTTTGCTTTGCATGTGATGCTGTCTTTCATCTGTTACTTATTTAAAATTTTCACATTATTGTCTTAAAATTAGAAATTAAAGTTAATGAACTAAAACTGAAATAGTATATTACAGTACAAGTGAAAAAATTGACAGTTTCGCTCACACGTATGTCGAATTACTTACAGGCCCGTGCCAAACCTAATCGGCGCTGTCATGCAAATGCCTGGCGAGCACCTTTATGTAGTGACGATATTATAGGGATGGTGCTTATGATTAACATTTAAAATGAAGCATTTTTAAACAT